AAGAATCGCCAAAGCCCTCGATCAGAGGTCCGACTTTGGGCGGCTGCGCCTTGGGCTCGGGGACGCTCCACTTTGCGCTGCCGTTGGGCGCAGCGTCCTTGGCGATGGGCTCGGGCGATTTGCTCTTGACCACATCGTCGTCGGGCTTTTGGCTCGGCGCCGCATCGGTGCTAGCGGTGGGCTTGTGCGGACGACCGCGTCGCATGGGCGTGATGCTCTGCTTCTGCAGCTCGAGCTCGCGTGCTTCGGCGCGCTCGAGCTCCTGCTGCGTAGGACCCATGGAGATGAGGTTGGCATCCACGCCGCCGCTCACGCCCGTCTTGGATGCGGGCGTCGACGAGTCGAGCGCCTTGCTGCTGCTGCTGACCAGCACAGGCAAAGGCCCGGCAATCTTGCCGCTCGCCGCTGCGGTCGCATAGTGCACCGCAGAAGAGGGAGGGCGGGTGCCGAGGATGGCGTGTACGTTGACGATGACCTGGTCGATGGTGGGACGGTCGGTGCTGTGTTCCTTGAGCATGGAGTGGATGAGCGCCTTGAGGCGTTCCGAGTAGACGGGCTGGGGCGGGATGCGGTACTGTACGTTGAGGATGGCGAGTGGGCCTCCGCCGTTCTCTTCAAAGGGGGTGGTGTAGTAGCAGAGCTTGTAGAGGAGCACGCCGAGCGCCCAGATGTCGGCCTTTTCGTCGATGACGCGACGCTGGTAGACGTCGACCATCTCGGGCGCTCGGTACTGGAGGGTGGTGTGCTTGTTGAGGTCGGCCTCTACGCGTTTGACCTCGTCGATGCTCTTGGCGGGGCTGCGCGAGAGCACGGGCGCGGCGGAGCCAAAGTCGCAGAGCTTAAAGGTGGCCTTGAGGTTGGACGAGGTGGATCGGGAGCCGGGGACCGTGCTTGGGTCGGTGGAGGGCGCCATGAGGATGTTTTCCACCTTGAGGTCGCGGTGCATGAGCGGCGGGTCGAGGTGGTGCATGACGGCGAGGCCTGCGCAGACGTCGCCAAAGATCTTGAGCACCTCTTGCTCGCGCAGGCGGTCGCGGAGGCGTGCGTTCATGAGGCTGATGATGCCGCCGCCGGAGCAGTACTCCATGAGGATGAAGATCTCGTATCCGCCGCTGGGGAGCGCGGTTGCCGAGGCCTCGATAAAGTGGACGATGTTGGGCTGGTTGCGCAGCAGCTTGTGCACCTCGACCTCGCGTCGCACGTCGGCGAGCGCAGCCTTGTCTGGCACCGCCATGCGTTTGAGCACATGCACCGTCTCGCCACGCTCGGCAGCGGCGCTGGATGCCATGGAAGCGCCCACGGCGCCGGTGACGGACGACGGCATGGGGATGGGCTGTGCGGTGGTGACGAGGTAGACGTGTGCAAAGCCGCCTTCGGAGAGGTAGCGCTTGACGGTGACGGTGATGTTGCCCACCTTGACGCGGGTGCCTGGCGCCAAGGTGCCCTTGTAGGGCTGTTGTTGCTGCTGCTGCTGCTGCTGCTGCTGCTGCTGTTGTTGTTGCATTTGCTGCGGATGTGGTGCGTAGCCTGCGTGTGCCGGCCGCGAGTACATGTT